CCGCTCTTCACCTCAAGTCCGTGCCGTACGAATACGTGGAGCAGAAAGTGTACGTTCAGGACGCAAAGACCGATCTTCTGGAGAAGTACAACCCTATCCACAAGAAAGTTCCGGTCCTCGTCCATGGCGAACGACCCATCTGCGAATCCCTCAACATCCTTCAGTACATCGAGGAGGCTTGGCCTTCTCCTTCTCTTCTCCCCTCCGATCCGTTCGATCGGTCCATTGCCCGGTTCTGGACCCAATACATCGATGAACAGGTAACATATAAAGACTGTTTGATTATATTATCATTGTTACATAATATACAATTAATGACAAGTAATCTTGATATGTTAATACAATGTATATGTGTATATTGTGTGTGTGTGTGTGTGTATGCGTTGTTACAGTGCTTCGCAGCGTCTTTGGCGGTTCTCGGAGCAAAAGACGACGAGGGAAGAACGGCTGCGGCGGCGAAGCTAGAGAGTTATTTCGCGGTTTTGGAGGAAGGGTTTAAGAAATGCAGCAAAGGCGGAGACTTTTTCGGAGGGGACAACATCGGATACGTAGACATTGCTTGTGGGGCCCTGCTGGGACCCCTCTGGATCATCGAGAAGCTTTCCGGCCTCCTGTTCATCCGTGAAGACAAAACCCCCGGTCTTTTCCGGTGGTCGGAGAAGTTCTGCGCCCATGAGGCCGTCAAGCCTTACATGCCCACCGTTGACGAGTTCGTCGAGTTCGCCACGAAGAAATTCAACGCCAAGTGATGGATGGCTCTCCCGTTTTGTTTTTGCTGAATTTCGATTATCATTTCTATCAAATCTTTGGTGAAGAAATAAATCGAAAATTAATTAATAACATATCCGCGAGGGTGATATGATATGAGAATCGGCTGCTTTTGTTTCCTTTCAACGTCATGTGAAAAATCTATAAAATCAAAAAATAAGAGCAAATGTGTTACATTTTGCTGTCATAATCTTATATGTTTCATTTAGTATCGTGTGTTTATCTTTTTATACATCACCGTGTCTTTTGATTAATTGGACTATAAGTTACAATACATAGGATGATAGATACGCAGTATTTTTTTTTTTTATGGATTACGTTTTTATTGAAGGAGTTTTCACATTAAAATTGGTCCTTTGAATTTTGTTAATTGTGATATCGTTGTACTAAATATTTTCACTCTCATAAATTTAAATAAATAAAGAGTGTAACTTAAAATCTTAACAAATGGTATCTGTAAAAGATGAAACCAAATATTGATAAGATGATGAATTTGAGTTGGTATCAAATGTCACATGTGGAAAGGTACGTAAGATGTAGTGGTCGTAAATGTATGAGATTTAAATAAAAAATGAGTTGATATTTAAATTTAATTATACTTTTACTTTCTAAATATTTGTAGTAATTAAATAAAGTTTTTATAAATTGCACTCTAATTATGTTAATTCTACATATATATAATAACAAATATTGACTTTAACAATAATTATTTTTTAAAACATTTGAAGTTTCATTCCCCATTTTTATTCTTGATTATCATCTTTACATTTTTTTTAAAATATATATACCAAATTTCATCATTTTTAGATAAATCTATTTTTTTTTTTACTTTTGAATGTAGATTTTGGATATGTAGTTCTTGGACATTTTGAGGTTTATCTGGTGTTTATATTTTTCGTACGCTTTTTTTCTATACATCTCAAAACATATCTAAAACATAAATTTACTCCTTTACATACATGTCATTACAATGTTGAGAGTTTGGTCAACCTCGCTAAACGTGCCTTTTTCTCATTCGATGTTTGCTGTGAAGTGGATTTTGCCTTTTTTTTTTCTTTCTAAATAACATAAATATTAGGATATAAATAAGATAATATAAATATTAATCAATTTTTTATATAGAGATTTTAGACATCAATACCTTGATCAGAAATTTATTTAGTAGTTATCAAATCTTTTTACGTGTCTTTTTTTCATTTGATGTTTGCAGTGGATTGGGTTCACCTACTTCTAAGAAACAGGAATATTAGGAAATAGATCAGAAATATTTATACCAATAAAATTTTATAGATATGATATTAAACACCATCAACCTTAATAAGAAATTTGTATAGAGAAGAAATCCGAATTTTTTATTTATCATTATTATGATTCAGTCCAACCCTTTCCATTTAAATATGCTGTCCGGTGGAACTCGTGATCGAATATTGCCATTCAAAAAACCAATTTTATAAAATTTATCGAAATAAATATGACTGAGACAAAATAATAATAACAATAAATAAAGCCATAGAAAAGTGTGGCCAGCCTGGAAAACATAATCTCGCAATTTAATACTCCAACCTCCTCCTCAACTGATAAGCACTAAAAAAAATCCCATGTAACAAAAAAAAATGATTATATAAATGAATCCCCACAAACAATCCCCAGCATCATTTGTCAACAACCCATAAACACAAGCCTTTGGAAGTGTTTCGATATCAGATGGCTCAGGACGGTTCGAGCGGCTTGAAGCTGATCGGCACATGGTCGAGCCCTTACGCCATAAGGGCTCGGA